CATAGACCTTACGAGTCTCGACTTCTTTCTATTCAGGATCAGCATCCAAGGACAGGAAGAATCGGCATCCAATATTCAATCGATCTCTTGATCGTCCATCCCATTTGTAAGTTGCACTCATCTCTATCTATTCAAGATTTAGCGCCAACAGGGGTGATTCTGGGGAATCACAGTGGATGAGCTTCAGGTCAATCCAGGTTTTGCAGTGGTGACTCTTGGTAACAACAGAGTTGCTAATAGAATTTAGAGACAAAGAACTATGACTGTGTTGGCCATGGCAATTTCAATGTTTTGTTGAGCAATCTTTAACTTTTGAAACTCAAACACTCATCAGATGATTTATTAATGGCAAAAAAGAAACCTTTAATCAACAATAGAGATTTGGTAATTAAGCTTCATCAAGTCAGAGATATCATGAGTTCTTTTTAATTAGGTTTTTCATTAACCAACGCTCCCAAGTTAGTCATGTCTTAGAAAGTGACACAATCTGTTGTTAATTCTATTCTAGATAACGCTTTTTCAGATAAAAAAAGATCTGGTTATTGCACATAATGTTTGGGGGATTGATCCGAAAGTGCTAAAATTTTCTGTGCTAGGATCTCCTTATTGACTCTAGAAACAGAGATGACGCCTCACTAAAATGTAATCTAAAGGTAAAAACTTTAACGATATATTTTAGAGGAATGAAAAAACAGTAGGAAATCTGTAACACTTGTATATATTTGTGTCGTTGAGTAACTGAACAATGTAAAATTTAGACCTTTATTGCCAAAATCACACTAACATGCTTCCTGATATATAGCAACTTGTGCATAATTTTGAATAATCACCATAGTTATTTAGACAAAACAAGCAGCATCCATCCATGTAGTGCTTAAATTCTATATAAAAGGAAAGCACATTCTTTTCAAACAATAATAGGAAGAAGCTACCACTGAAACTACAAACTACAATTGTCAATAAAAATAGCTACCCTAATGCTAGTACCACTGTAGCTTTAAATTGATCGTAGAAACTTCTTCAAAATTTCTCAATAATCCACGGCGGGCTAAACCTTCACGACCAGTCACGCGTTTTCCATCTTTAATACCACAAAAACTTACAATCTTAACGGACTTTAAGTAATGCCGCCAACATTTGATATGGTTGTCTTCACAGCAGAGGAGATTTTTTTTCCTATACGACATAACCTGCTTGTATAAATCCTGAAACATACGAAAAGGTCACATACAGTAAATAGGTATGGAACGTACACATAAGAAACTAAAAGAGTAATTATAGTGCAATACGATAGTATGGTCATGTTGTATAACTTATCCGCGTGTTATAAAGAGCACATATACAAGCTACACCACGTGCAGCCATAGCCCTATCTCAAAATATTACCAAATTATTACCTTTATCCCAGGATTTTTTCAATAGAAAAGATGCACGATCTATTGAAGTCCTAGTAGCAACAACCTCCAAATACTGAATTTTCGAAACTGGACGAATTGTTTCTTCTCTTAATTCTACTCGAGCATATCTGGTCTGCATTTAGAAAAATAAGCTAATTAAGGTGACAAAAATACAATTAATACATCATGAAGACGAATGAACTGAGCTGTATTTCTGGACTTACAATAGAAGGAGAGTGAAAGTTGAAGACCACCCCTTCTTTTGGCTTGAACTTCCAAAGATATTGTTGCAGTTGATGAAACCATGAAGTGCCAATAGCACGCACGGGACTTACGGAAAGATCAACGTTTTCTAACTTCGTTGATTTCAAAGAAAACGAAGGCTGAAATTTGTCACCACCACTGTATTCATAAGAAACAAGGTTGGGAGTCTCTATGCTGATCTTCTTTACTGTAGTGTTACCGTCGAAGTTTAAAGATAATGCCTTGAGTTTGTGACTCGAGATTTTCAGCTCTGTTTATACAAAACTGCCCTCCAAGTTTAACTTCTCAAGAAAGGGAAATTTCAAAAGAAGTGTTGCAATATATTGAGTGGTAATTGCAAGCAGAGGAGTTTGCATTATCAACTCCTTTAAATTAATGCAGTTGATTGCTTCAAGGTCCAACGGGTCATTGAGGTAGGAATATCGAAGAGTTTGAAGACTGGATGCTTCAATCTTGTAGCGATAAACTCTAGTAAAGAGTAGCTCAACAGTCTTAAGCTTGGAAAATCCACAGAGCTGAAGATCTTTTAGGTTTTTACAGAAATTGAATTTTAAAGTCTCAATAGAAGGACATCTAGAAAGGAGCTCATTGGTAAGTCCATGTAAATCAGACTCTAACAAACTGAGCTCTTTTAGGCAGCTAAATCTCATGCCCTCTTGCTTTAAGGCTTCCTTGGAAATATCACAATAATGTAACCTCAATACAACTAATGACCCAAGATCAGAACTAGCAGGTGGAAAACTGTACCTTGGGATTAATTTATTACTGCATTTGAACATGAGCTCCAGCACTTCGACATAGTGTCTGATGACCAACTTGATCCAACGGTCAATATCAGAGATTTGCTTTTTCTTGTGAAGTTTCCCTGCCAGCAGGGTAAAGCGAACTATCCTTTTCTGATCTTCATGTTCATGTAGCACTCTCAAGGATTCATCCACAGAAGTTACAGACTCCTCTGCTGACCGTTTCCTTTTTCGACCCTGACCATCTTCATCAACCATGAAAAAAAAAAATCTAGAGACCGGTAGTGAGTTCCATACACTTTTCCATGTTCTTGACAAGAAGCTCATACGGACTGCATCTTGTGCAGGCAAGCGAAAGAGGATTTGTTGCATAATGGATTCTGGCAACTGCGATATTAGATCCATAAGGTTGATTTTCCTGACTATGTGTAGTTTGTTTGGATGAATGACAGATGACGAATGATCTATGGAGAAGCAAAGAGAGAACCTCCTCCCTCTCAGATTTACAAGTTCCTATCCTAGTTGTACTTTAATTAGCCGTATATATAAAGGACTCTTTTTCCTTGCTTCTTACGTAAATAGGATCATCCAATCCTGTGCGATATTTGGATTAGGGTTTGTGCTACAAGTTCGTTCTGATTTTTTAACCCTTAATTTTGGGCCCAATTTTCATGTTTTGTATACTATCACAAGTAAATTTGCCAGCTGGCACTAAAAGAAATCAGGAAACTTAGCATTAGGGGAAGTACGAAATCTGGGAACTTAAAAATAGGGAAAGTAAAAATAATTGGCAAACTGGATCCGGATCCTCGATCTGCTCTGATTTTCTCTGCCATGATTTACTTTACTTTTGTTCTCCATACACCACCTCATTAAAATTTAATCTAAGGGACTTAAAAATTGACACATCATCTTTCTAACAAAAACCCAATTTACTCCTAATTAAAAAAGAAAAAAAACCTTAATCCAACTAACGGCAAAGTTAACATCATGTCCTCTTTCTTTTCTTCCTTCTTCCTGTCTCACTTTTTTTTTTTTTGAGTCAATCCCTGTCTCACGTCTCTTGCACTCTCTGATATGAAAAAAAAGAGAGAAAGAAATAGAATATCCCAGGATTAATTAGACCAAAAAAAAAGACTCAGGATTACAGCAAACAAACGACGAAAGCAGGTTGTCTTTAATCAAACCAACAAAATAGGAGAATTGCATTTTCTCCAATAAAATAAAAAATAAAAATACTTGTGCAATTGGGTGAAGAAGCTGCAGAGAAAGAAAGAAGAGAAACACAGCTGGAAAGGGGGGACGTGAGAAAGGAGATAGAAAAAAAATTGGTTGTCTTTGGTAAAAAGCAATGGTGCCCTTGATCCCTACACCCTTGGCATTGGATCCAAATAAGGCGACTCCCCGTGTCCATGTGGAGAAAGTAAGAAATGGGTGACGCCCTCCTGAATGTGCCTATGCCGATTTTAGCAATGTATGCAGATCCCAGTTTATGATCAACTATGGGACGCACAACATTAACATTGGAATTGTTGTGCTTTGCGTAAGTGTTTGGCGTGAACTTTGGATAGGAGAATAAGCTTTTGGATTCTTTGTTCTTGTGTGAGGGGTGACTCTGGGGAATCACGGTGGATGAGCTTAATGGTCAATCCAGGTTTTGCAGTGGTGACTCTTGGTTACAACAGAGAGTTGCTAATAGAATGTAGAGACAAAGAAATTTGACTGTGTTGGCCATGGCAATTTCAATGTTTTGCTGAGCAATCTTTAACCAACGCTCCCAAGTTAGTCATGTCTTAGAAAGTGACACAATCTGTTATTCTATTCTAGATAACGCTCTTCAGATTAAAAAAAAAAAAGATCTGGGTATTGCACATAATGTTTGGGGGATTGATCCGAAAGTGCTAAAATTTTCTGTGCTAGGATCTCCTTGACTCTAAAAATAGAGATGACGCCTCACTAAAATTATATATATACTAAAACTGAATAAAGTTACTGTTCTTAGACTATTCATTTTAATAGTGAAATGCCGTTTGTGCCCCTGCTTAACTGGTTGCCCTCTTACCAAATGAACAGAGCAATGTCTTTTTTGCCCTGATGACCAACGACATAACCCTTTTGCCCTCTTATTCTCTGGTTCTCCTCCTCCAGCATTACGGCTCACTTCTCTTCATACAATTCCCACAATCAAGAACCGAATTTTGATCGCATCCTCCAAGCAAACTGACCTTCCCCAACTCTTCCTCAGCAGAACAACTCAAATTTTCTGATATTTCACACTCCTCCTTCTCCACACAACCAATTGGCACAGACCCATCGGCAGTTTATTCAGACCCACAACCAGTTGGGTCATACACATTAAGAATTGGCCTTTGGCCTTCGCCGCCATCTTCCTCTCCAATAGACTCTTCTTCAACCACCTCAACCTTGACCTCCCCTGTTTCTGCCGTATCAGGGTTTGGTATATCCTGAAACCAGACTCAAAATCCAAGGACGAATCAACAAACGTGAAGTCTCGGGGATCAACAGGGGCAGGTGGGTCCTTCGAATTCTTGGTCCTCTGTCTGGCGTTCGTCTGACAGATTTCCGATCTGCGATTTCTTCCATCGTTTCTCTTCAGGTTTGCATCCCCTCAACTTTTTAATGGATTAATAGCTTGCTGATGGGTTTCTGAGAGGTGGAGTTGATGTTGTTGCATTATCTGACAAATTTGAATGTTTTGATTAAAGAAATACATATGTTTACGCAGGAATATTAATAGTCATGCTACAATTTGTTTAAATTAACATCTAATTACCAAAAATAAAAACAAAAAATTCATGCTATAATATATGCAACACGTTGTTAATCATATCACATTATGCAAAACATGTATCCAGGTTTTGTAATAAACATTGGTTAATTAGCATGGAAATGACTATAGAAAGGGTTTGTGTATATGAGTGTGTTGTTCTGTTTTGATAAATGGGAAGGTGTTTTGGCTTGATTCTCTTATACCTATTTAATAATTGTCACAATTGTTCAGAATTTGTTTTCAATTGGTTCAATAGATTGAGTTTATACTTTTGTCCATCAAATTAATAGAATGTTTGATGTACTGTTGTTCATCAAGTTCTATTTTTTTAAACTTAATTATGTCATAATAGTTATTGCCCTCACTCAAATTTTTCCATTTATATATACTAACACCTACCATTTTCCAAATTTATGCCAACAGGGTCAAAACGTCTACAAATGACGAGAAAAAACGAAAACCACCTATACAGCAGAGCTAGCAAGACCTAGATCCCCTTCCACTACCCAGTACTATATGTATAAACACCTGTCCAAACTCTTTTGAACAATGAGAAACTAAAAGTTGCTCATATTTTGATGTTTTTATAACTGCTTGATCTATTAAAATATGCTCAATATTTTCACATAACGAGCAACGCATAAAACATGTTATTAGTTTATTTGTTGTAACTTAAGCTTGCTAAACTAAGCATGATACCATTATTTAGATCTCCATGTTTATATAAATAGTACCATTTTCCCTGAATATTTTCACAACTTTATACACATTTCACACGATTTCAAAACCCGCAGCATCGTGCGGGCACTGTTACTAGTGTAATCTAAAGGTAAAAACTTTAACAATGCATTTCAGAGGAATGAAAAAAACAATAGGAAATCAGTAACACGTGCTAGTATATATCTGTGTCTTGAGTAACTGGATGTAATGTAAAGGAATGTAACTGCATCAATAAGATCACCTGATGAACATGCTTCTTGATAATTAGCAATGTAAAATTTTGAATAATTTTGAATAATCAACATAGTTATTTAGACAAAACAAGCAGCATCCATCCATGTAGTGCTTAAATTCTATATAAAAGGAAAGCAGTATTCTTTTCAAACAATAGTAGGAAGCTACCATTGAAACTACAAACTACGTACAATTGTCAATAAAAATAGCTACTCTAATGCTAGTACCACTGTAGCTTTAAATTGATCGTAGAAACTTCTTCAAAATTTCTCAATCTATCACGGCGGGCTATACCTTCATGACCAATCACGCGTTTTCCATCTTTAATAGCAACAAAACCTTCAATCTTAACGGACTTTAAGTCATGCCGCCAACATTTGATATGGTTTTCTTTACAACAGAGGAGATTTGTTTCCCTATACGACATTAACTTCTTGTATAAATCCTGAAACGTACGAAGGTCACATGCAGTGATAGTTATGGAACCTACACACATAAGAAATTAAGCAGCCAATATTGTCCTATAAGATTACCAAATTATTACCTTTATCGCTAGTTTTCTTTCATCTGCGAAGATGAATAGGTTGATTGGACGACAAATCCAAAGCAAGCCATCAATGAGAGCTGTATGATCTATGGAAGACCTAATACCAACCCGCAAATACTTGATTTTCGAAACCGGAGAACTTGTTTCTTCTCTTAATTCTTCCGGAGCAAATCTGATCTGTATGCATATATTAGAAAAATAAGTTAATAAAGGTGACAAATATACAATAAATACATCATGAAGAAGAATGAAGTGAGCTGTATTTGTGGACTTACAACTGGGGGAGAGAAAACTGTTAAGACCAACCCTTGTTTTGGCGCGAACTTTCCAAGATATTCTTGCAGATGAAGAAACCATGAAGTGCCAATAGCACTCCTGGGTTTTACGGTAAGATCAACTTTTTCCAGCTTCATAGAATTCAAAGAAAAGGACGGCGGAAATTTGTGACCGATGTATTTGTAAGAAACAAGGTTGGGAGTCTCTATGCTGATCTTCTTTATCATAGTGTCATCTTGGAAATTCAATGTTAATGCCTTGAGTTGGTGACTCAAGATTTTCAGCTCTGTTGATTTATAAGAGACTGACAAGTTTATCTTCTCAAGAAAGGGAAATTTCGAAAGAAGTGTCTCAATATATTGAAGGCTAATTTCACCGCTAGGAGTTTCCATTTTCAACTCCTTTAAATTACTGCAGTTGATTGCTTCAAGGTCCAATTGGGATTTTTGGTTCAAGGTCCAATAACGAAGAGTTTGAAGATTGGATGCTTCAATCTTGTAGCTATGAGCTCTAATAGTGGCTAGGTAAACATTCTTGAGCTTGGAAAATCCACAGAGCCGAAGATCTTTTAGGTTCTTACATAACTTGAAATTTAAATTCTCAATAGAAGGACATCTAGAAAGGAGCTCATTGGTTAATCCATTCAAATCCACATTTGACAAACTGAGCTCTTTTAGGCAGCTAAATCTCATGCCCTCTTGCTTTAAGGCTTCCTTGGAAATATCACAATAATGACTTAACCTCAATACAACTAATGACCCAAGATCAGAACTAGCAGGAGGAAAACTGTACCTTGGGATTAATTTATCAATAGAATTGAATAATTTGTTTATGTCGAGCTCCAGCACTTGGACATAGTGTTTGATGACCAACTTGATCCAACGGTCGATATCAGAGGCTTGCTCTTTCTTGTGAAGTGTCCCTCTCAGCCTAAAATTAATTATCCTTTTCTGATCTTCATGTTGATGTAGAACTCTCAAGGACTCGTCCACAGAAGTTACAGACTCCTCTTCTGACCTTTTCCTCTTTCGATCCAGACCATCTTCACTTTCCATATAAAAATTAAATTCAGAGACAGGTAGTGAGTTCCATAGACTTTTCCATGTTGTTGACAAGAAGCTCATACGGACTGCATCCTGGACAGGCAAGCGAAAGAGGATTTGTTGCATAATGGATTCCGGCAACTGCGATAGTCGATCCATACTAGATGAATGATGAATGTTTTCTGAAGAAACTAAAAAGAGAAATTATTGTACGCTTCTAAACCCTAGCGGTTTTCCCTGCACATATGTTTGGAACCCTAGCTGTAGTTTAATTAGCCCTATATATATATATATATATATATATATATATATTATATAAAGGAGTTTTATTCCTATGTGATATTGGGCTCCTGCCACAAACCAAGCCGTCCCCAAACTATAGAGTTCCTTCTTTATTTTTAGCCCTTAACGTTGGGCCCAATATTCATTCTCTGTACCATAAAAAAATAATTAGAATATTGAACCTTTTGAAGAATTCCGCCAACTTAGGCAATGACTTTACTGAACCTTTCAAGAATTAGAATATTTTTTTTATACAAATAATTAGATATATAGATATATTTTGATAATAAAAAATATAGAAATATATATTCCACGTTAATGAATGTTCCTTCTTTTTTTTTGGGGGTCAAACGTTAATGAATGTTCCTTTGTTGTGCAGGTTGGTAGTGAAATTACCAAGAGCTGCCTCAAAGTGCGGCGACACGGCATCGATTGACTTCAGACCCTTTTTCGGTCATCGGTTGACTTGAGACTTTGGTGCACCTACCACAGTACCACCTCATATTTACAACCTCATAAATTTGGAAAAAGAAACAGAAATTAAAAACAAAAGAGATGAAAATGACTTGGTCGTTCGGATCCAAAGCCTAAATCATATATATGCTCTCATACCCTTTATAAGAAATTTACACTGATAAATATGTTTTTGATGTTTGTGTTTTCTGTTGCTAATTTTTTTTTTTTTTTTTTTGGGGGGGTTTATTTCAGTTAGTGTTATATTCAATCGAATGTGGGTACTTCTTACCTATAGATGCACGTAGATCTCACAATGAGTGCGAAGATAAATGCTCTACTGTTGGAGACGCTTGCTAAGTTCGGGTTGTTTTTCTGATTGCCAAAAAAAAAAACATATTACAAATTTTGAAATTTGGGTTCTCTTCAACTTGTGGTGACAGCAAATTTGGGTTCCGTGATTGATTTGTATGGTTAGTCTAAGTCAAAGTAAACTCATGTGTTCACTTGGAAATGAAGTACCAATTGGATGTAGTATTGATCACGATAGGAGCGTTGAATCAAATTTAACAGTTCTGTGGATTATAAATTATCAAATTGTCAACGCAAAAACTTGCAAAAAATTTCTTAGTTTTAAACAAAGAATCGACCACACGTCCCTAAAGATACACATATTATTGTTTCTCATTTCACTGCTTTGGCAATATATACTACAAGTTGATATTCATGAAGTGTGAACTTGCAAAAGATTCCCTTTTCAGACGCAAAAATTGACTACGTACATGTTTATTTTTTTCTTGCTCCAATTCTACTTCTTTTTTCAATATATATTACAAGAGAATATTCAAGAAGAAGATGTTAGTTTGCAGCTTCATTTCTTCTCTTGGAAATAAATTTCTTTCTGCATAATGGAGATGTTCAAACATCTTCTTTCTGCATTGCTTTGTGGTTTTGCTCTCATACTTCTAGTTCATGCACAAGATGATCAATCAGGTATGTTCATATATTGATAATTTAAAACTTGAAAAATTATTAATTTTGATCATAAATCCATTGTTCATTAACAATTTGGCTAGCTAATGTACTATCTCTCTGATCACTCAGGCTTCATCAGCTTGGATTGTGGGCTGCCTACAAATTCTAGCTACTCTGAGCCAACAACAGGCCTTGACTACATTTCAGATGCAGCCTTCATATCCACTGGTGTAAGCAAAAGTATTGCCCCTCAGTACAAAGCTACTCATCAACAGCAAGCAGCTTATGTCAGGAGCTTTCCTCAGGGGGTCAAGAACTGTTACAGAGTAAACATTACACAAGGGACTAAATATTTGATCCGAGCAAGTTTCGTGTACGGCAATTATGACGGTTTAAATAAGCTGCCAAAGTTTGATCTTCTCTTTGGAGCTAATTCTTGGGACTCAGTGGCATTTGTTGATGCATCTTCGAGTACTATCAAAGAACTTGTTCATGTTCCCACATTAGACTATATACATGTGTGTCTAGTCAACAAGGGCACTGGAACACCATTCATTTCAGCACTGGAGTTGAGGCCTTTGAAGAACACTACTTATGTGACTCCAACAGGTTCGTTGGAACTCTTCCTTCGCTTAGATGTTGGTTCAACATCCAATCAATCATACAGGTGAGCCATTTCATATCTGAAGTAGTACTGGTTTCAAATGTACATTCTATTTTCTAGCTACTGATAACAAGTGGTACTATTACTTAAGGTATGATTATGATGCTTTGGATCGGATTTGGGTACCTCACACCTTCAACAAGTGGACACAGTTAACTACCTCGCTTACCGTAGATGCTCAAAGTCACAATGACTACCAAGCACCACCTATAGCAATGAGAACTGCCAGCACGCCGATTGATGCCAGTGCTTCCATGGACTTCAGCTGGGAATCCCCGGATACATCGACTGAATACTACGTGTACCTGCACTTTGCTGAACTCCAGCAGCTTAAAGCCAACCAGTCCAGAGCATTCAATATCACTCTGAATGGAGATTA